TGTTCCCAGGATCATCCTCTATCAACTGGGCAGAGGGCCCCGTTGCCCGAGTCTATCACCGTTTGCAGTTAAACTGCAGACGTTCCTCCGGATGGCTCAACTAGAATACACAGTAAGTGTGTCGAAAAGATGACACATGTGTGTCTGTCTGTATGCCTGTCTGTCAGTCTGTGCCGCGGTTTAACATAGATACCCCGCTAGGACGACCTACACTGACTCCGAGCCGACCAGTGCTTGTTTTCGCTCATACCGCCATTCCCAGGCACGGTAACAACAACCATCTGGCCTCGTGGTACGACGCGCACAGGGCCGGGATCGAACCGCCTAGCTTCAGTTCTCCGGCAGACGCTATATTCACTGAATCAAGGAGACGGCCTGCTCACTGTGTATATATGAACGTATGTATTGCACTTCACTCAGCTAACCTACACATATCACCGATGTTTACTTTTACTGTTTCAAACCGAAATCGAAACAATGTTCCGATCAGACTTTAATCATGGCTGTCGCGGCGGCCATGTTGAAAATGTCATTTTGTCCAAATAATCGGCCGTTTATGCATGCAACATTGTGATAAGTGTATTGTGGTTTGAGGACTAATGTATAATATTTTTTACTTCTATATTTTTTAACCAACAATTTTGACATCTTATTCGTTGTTGTTTTTCCAGCGTTACTACATAATTCTCAGCTGAGATAAAATTTCTATGGATCTGAAACGTTGTATATCCCAGCTATGGTGTTTCTCAAACCTGCAATCACTCAGGTGGCACCCCATTAGTCATACGACCCATTAGTTATACGCATGCCATGGCTGATTGTTCTTACATACGTAGCTTTAGTACCTCCGTAGGTAATGGAATGACCCGTATGAAACGACCACAAAAAGAACTTTTAACAAGCAGATCGTAATCATTTACCTATGGAATGAACTCGATCGACGTGTACGTCAACGTCAAAACACATCTCAGACACTTCCACAACTGGCCATCGCATTGCATGAAGAGTGGGGAAGGATTCGTCGATTAACCCGTGTCAGAATTGATCTTCAGTAACCTATGCTTGTCGTACGAGGCGACTAAAGTAATCGGGTGGTCAGGCTCGCTGACTTGGTTGACACATGTCATCGTATCCAAATTGCGTAGATCGATGATCATGCTGTTGATCACTGGATTGTCTGGTCGAATATTTACAGATTGCCACCATATAGCTGGAATATTGCTGAGTGTGGCATTAGACAGCAAACCAGCCAACTAACCATAACAACTATTAATTCTTCACGGTTTGAGTGAGCTATCGTGTATTTCTTTCTGCAATAACAAGTGGCAAGATGTATTTTATTCTGTAGCTGAAGACGTAACAACAAATTGATTATTTCTTAAGAACTGACTATCCGATTCAGTTAGTCGCCTCTGAAGACAAGCGTTGCTTGTTTACGAACAATTCGAACCCTGATCCTCGCGTGCCTAGCGTTTCTCATCCTCGATAATCTCCAGGGTATACGTTACGATCACTCTCCACTATACCCTGGATGCATACACGGCTTCGTCCGATAATTATACTACCTCCCTTTTGCTGGCTCCGCATTCTCACAGTAGCCAGTCAGCTAAGCCGCCGTTACATCCGAGCTTGCCAGTGTCAGCAAAGATAGCGGTCGCAGTCATGAAGGTTTGTTCGCAGTGCCACTCTGATATTTTGGGAAATCATACAGACAAATTGACAGATCTGAATCTTTAAAATAGCATATGAAAGAACTCCTTCTACCTCTTTCAGAGTACCTCTGCATCAATTGTGTTGCCAAGTTTAAACGGTTAGATAATTTAAGAAGCGAAAGTGAGTTGTGATTGATTCGCTCAACTTCCCAGCGTAGACACCTGATTGGATAAAAAAACAACAAAGGGAGGTAATAAAATCATCGGAATGCATCAAGCCGTGGATGCATCCAGGGTATAGTGGAGAGTGATGGTAACGTATACCCTGGAGATTATCGAGGATGAGCGTTTCTATGCATTACGTATGTTTTGATGTGTGGAAATTTCCCTGTGCATGGTGTGTGCCATTTCAGAACGACAATGGGGGGAGATATTCATCTAAGGGTAAAATCCCATTGATCAAATACAATGGAGAAGCGGTGGCTGACTTGCAGTTCTGTGTGGAGTATCTGAACCGGAAGCTGAACATTGACCTCAGCAGTCACCTGACGAAGGAACAACGGGCTATTGCGCATGCGTTTAGGAAAATGGCGGAGGAAAATCTTCACTGGTTTGTTATATAATTTATGGTTGCCTATAGGTAAGTGAGTTTTGTCTGGTGCGGTGAGAATTGCCTTATTTTATTCCTGTGTGGGGATATGTAGCATGGCTTGAAAACGAAAACAGGCATAGGTTTGGAAAACGCGACCGCTTTGGAACTAATTTCTTGTTCTCGATCAGTAATCCAAATTGAAGGATTACTTTTGGTTAACTATGAGTACTTGGAGGCCCAAAGTGTTGCCGGTTGTGGATATTTTCCACATCAATAAACCACCGCGCCCATTTTGACCAAGGAACTATTGTAAAGGGTTGAATTGAAAAACAACCAGCGGATCCTGCCACGACTAAGGACGCACACCTTTACACCTTGGATTGCACCTGAACTGATGCATTGTTTTGTTTGTTTCTTGTTATTTGTCATCAATAATCCCTGTGTGGAATCATCAAGGTTCCATGCATGTTTTGTTTGATTGTAAGTTGTATAACGCCGCACTCAGCAATATTCCAGATATATGGCTGCGGTCTGTAAAGAATCTAGTCTGGACCAGACAATCCAGTGATCAACAACATGAGCATCGATCTACGCAATTCGGATTCGATGCATGTGCCAATCAAATCAACGAGGTTGACTACCTGATCCCGTTAGTCGCCCCTTACGACAAGCACCCATGCATATTTTATAAGAACTTACAGAAATGGGGATCGGATGGCCATCATACCGAGCTGACGGTATCGTCGCTTATTCATCAACCACTTATTTTCCTTGTCGATTGATGATTATTACATGAATTCCGCTGGCTACGGCGTTGATTACCTGAAGCGTCCTGTGTATAATCCTCACTTTGATGGAGAATATGAACATCGTCAAAGTCTCCGGTTTCAACGCGCTGTCTGTCAGACTTGCCGTCCACAGATACCGGAAACAGACGAAAGCTTACGGAATCGGCCGACACACCAATCTGGAAATGCTGCAGATAATGGAAGGAGATTTCAGAGCTCTGTCAGACTATCTAGGTAACGTGATTCCTTCACTGCTGGTAGGGTAGGACATGCTTACCCTTTTTGCGAACACCAATGTCATAACTGATCTTCTGATATTTTCAGGGGCGATGGGGTAGCCTAGTGGTTAAAGCGTTCGCTCATCACGCTTAAGACCCGAGGTCGATTCCCCACATGGGTACAATGTGTGAAGCCCATTTCTGGTGTCCCCCGCCGTGATGTTGCTGGAATATTGCTAAAAGCGGCGTAAAACTAAACTCACTAGCACTTTGATATTTTCATCGCTGTTTTTCCTTTAACGCTCAATGGAATGTGTTTTGGCGGATTATGGAGAGTGGGTGTTGTAAGGGGTTGACGGGTAGCCTAATTTACTGTATACATACCCGTATAGAATAGACGAAGTCTTCTAATGTGCTGCACTTCGCTTTAACGAGTTGTGTCCCTTAGACAGAAACCTGTGATTGTGGGTTCGAATCCCAGGTTGATCGGCACCATACCTATGACCAGCTCACACAATCAATCACTCATATTGACGTCAGAAGATTGTTGCCCCTCTTATGTCTTCCTATACTTCAGAAGGAAAGGGAAAAGTATGCTAAAACATCAATGTGATTTTTAAGACCTGAAAGTCCGTAAAGTACTTTCTTAAAAGTGGTGTGGGTCTCATTTTAAAAGCGGCGGTGGGGTAGCCCTGTGGTTAAAGCGTTCGCTCGTCACGCCTAAGACCCGGGTACGATTGCCCACATGAGTACAATGGGTGAAGCCCATTTCTGGTGTCCCCCGCCGTGATATTGCTGGAATATTGCTAAAAGCGGCGTAAAACAAAACTCACTCGCTCACTTTCTTGAAACTTTTGTTGGTAATTTAATTAACAGGGAAGAAGACGTTCCTCTTCGGACATCAACCTTGTGAGGCTGATGCTGCCTTGTTTGGTTAGTTGGCACCGGGTACAAAAGGGGAACAACTCATGCACGATATACACACCAGGGTTATGTCCCCTACATCAACACTATGAATCGTGTATATAATTATAAATACGTTAATACATATATATATTGAAAAAAGGTATTTAACATCACAATCTTCCGTATCAGTAAATGTGAAGACGGATGTTCACAAGGTGAGGTGAAATTGGGTTTGACGTCGCACTTAAGAATATATCGCTCATATGACGACGTGCATGCGTGTGTAATGTGTGGCTCCTTGTACTAGCCCGGACTGAAGCTGGTTTTATAGTACTAGCCCACTGAGATACCAAGCCGCAGTGAAGCATGAATACCCCAGTCCGACACATTATACTAACTTCGAGCCGACCAGTCCTTGTTGTACTCATTAATGCCGAGCGCCAGGCAGGGACCAACAAGTACCAAATTTTAACGTCTTTTGGTATGACGCGGCCGGGGATCGAACCAGTGACCTTCCGCTCTCCGGGAGGACGCTCTAGCCACTACACCACGGAGGTTCACGAAAATAGCCTATTAGAATATGTGACGTATAAATAATAATGATAATAAATTACATAACTGGATTTTTTTTCTTTCAGAAAAGTTTACAAATCTAGTGGAGTATTGTGAGAGCATGAAGTCTAACTTTTGGACGGACTGGAAATACTGCATCACAGCAGACGGAACTAAAAAGCTACAAAATAAACACAGAATGATTTCGTTCGTGAGTTTGAAGCTACAGAATCACTAGTCAGATGTATACATCATTGTAGAAACATACAAATATTCATAAATAATGTACATGTTTGATTAGTATTTTCAGTTGAATTATTCTTGAGAAATCGATTTAATCCAGCAAGATATATGCTCTTTGACACGTTTACCATTCGTACACAAGACATGGTCTTTCAATATCATGTTCGGCTATTTCCGTCGAACCACGTCTTCCCTTCGCCCTCTGGTGGAAGACTGGCGGTATTCCAACGCCGTATTTAGAAATGACGCAGAACTTTCAGATGGTCATCGTTTCTCGTTTTAAAATTATATGTGACGCATTTCATCGGGACCACATTTAGGCCAATTAGTTCGAATATTTGACAATTTGATGACGCAACATGTTTTATTTTGGACGACAGATGAGAGGATCGGATGGTTACAATGTCGGTTCTCCATTGGTAGCCTCACGTTGACGGAATAGTTGGAATATTTCAGACTACAGCGGAGCGTTCGCTCGTCACGCTCAAGTTCGATTCCAAACATGGACACAATGTGTGAAGCCCATTCTGGTTTCATCCGCCGTGACTAAACTCACTCACTCTGACTGCGGCGTAAATTAACACTCGCTCACCAACTCACTAACTCACTCACACATTCACTCTCTCACAAGAAACTTAAGAAAATATTGTAAGGCATAAAAGGTAGCTCTTCGATAATGACAGCGGCGTTTTACAAAGTTATTGAAACCCTGAACATATTTTGTGAAGCGTATTGTGAAGACTCCACGAGTTAGCTCCCTTGACATGGGTCCGACTCAACTTTCTCATGCCTGCCTTTCAATATTGGGCCCCGTTTGCATTTCGTAGAAGTTACTGTGCAGGGTCCCTCTTCGACATGCAAGTAGGGTAAACTGTTGTCTTCCTCTTCAAACCCGTTAGGATGGGGATTCAGAGAAAACTAAAGAACCAAATTAACCAAAGCTTGTCGAGAGAGGCGACTAACGGGTATGCAGGGGCGGATCCAAGATTTTGGAAGAGGGGTGGGGGTTGGGGGTGCTCATATATCATGACGTCCAAAGGTTAGGGGGAAATGCTCCTCAGGGAAAGCTATTTCGGGGGAGCAGGAGGGTTTGCACCCCCTCCTCTGGATCCGCCCCTGGGTATGGGTGGTCAGATTCGCTTTGTTGATTATTGTTTAGTTTGTTTGTTGAGCATCGATCTCCGCAATTGGGATACGCAATTTATTTATTTATTTATTTATTTATTTTTCGTTTATTTCTTAATTTTGGGGTGGTGGTATCCCTCTGGAATCATGTTTGTGCCACTTTCTTTATCATCTACATATATTCAGGGGTGAAAATAACTTTAAAATTGCTAGTATACTCCGGTACAGTGGCACATGTAAAATCACTTGCCCTGATCATTTTTCCACTATACCGGACGTTTTCTTGTTGATTTTTAAATAAACAACATAATTAACGTTGGAAAGTCAACTGGACACCGGTACAGTGTGATATACAAATTTGCTTGCCCAACAGATAAATCACTGGACTCTGACATCGGGCAATGGGTTATTTCCAGCCCTGAATATTATACTTACATCTACGTCATCTACGTTAATTTACGTAGATGATGTTATAGTCTATTAAGGAGAATCATCGACACTGTAACCATATCGTTTCTCGAGTAATCCACAATAGTTCCGGGTCTGTTTACGTAATATCTGTGTAAACTGATAATTTGATTTGTTCGACTTTCAACCGTGGTGTGTCTTTATGGTACCATCGGGACATTCAGTCACGTAACCCTACCTTTAAATCTGTCGAAATCTGTTCCGCGAATGTATATGTGGTTTGGTTTTTTTTGGACAATTTGAAATTATTTCAGTATGTTGTCTAAATACAGAAATTAAAACAAACGACCCACAACCTGCCAAGTCAATTCACATATATATTTGTTAAACCTATATCAAGCGAGGGTCATAACTTCACATCACAATACAACGATTATGATATCATGTGAACAGATTATCTTATCTTCTCTGAAGATGAACGTAGATCAAAGTATTATCTACGTAGATTAATGTATCTTCTACGTATATAAATGTAAGTTTATCTAACTTCTTAAAGTGGCATTTGGAAGCTGGTATGGTGAAGAGGAACGCTTCTTTTATGGATAGACAATGTCTTTATTGCAAGTGATGTGACGTTTCGGATCAGATCCTAACACTGTTACCATTGACGTTCCACTTCGGTCAGATCCTAACAGCGTTGGCTCGTCACGCCGAAGACCCGGGTTCGACCCACATGGGCACAGTGTTCCATTTCTGGTGTCCCCTGCCGTGATAAAATATTACTAAAAGCGGCGATGATAAACTCAGTCAGTCACTTCAGTAAAATCTACACAGATGATAACGAATTTAGACGGTGGCACTAATCCGCTTCCATACCCTACCACCTACAGGACCGCCTCCGTGGTGTAGTGGTTAGAGTGTCCGCCCGGAGTGCGGAAGGTCGCGGGTTCGATCCCCGACGGCGTCATACCAAAAGACGTTAAAATATGGTACTTGTTGGTCCCTGCCTGGCGTTCGGCATTAATGGGTACAACAAGGACTGGTCGGCTCGGAGTCAGTATAATGTGTTTGAGTGGGGTATTCATGCTTCACTGCGGCGTGGTATCTCAGTGGGCTAGCACTATAAGACCAGCGTAAGTCTGGGCTAGTACAAGCAGCCGCACATAGACATACACATGCATGCACGTGGTCATATGAGCGATATATTCTTAAGTGCGACGTTAAACCCAATTCCACCACCACCACCACCTACAGCTTGTTCAGCTTAGTGAATAATAATTAATTGCGTGACCGTGTCACAACTGGTTGGGTCTATTATTGTGAAGGGGTCAGGTGATTGGTGTAAACGGGTTGACTGATTGTTGTGCCCATGTTGAAAATTTGGAAAGTGACTACTGGGACAGAAATATTGCAGTTGAAGATGAGATAGCGATTGAATGATTGTGAAAGTAACTGACGTCTGTAAGTTGTAAAGTAAGCAAACCAAACTAGATAGCATATGACTGTGTAAACAATACAATTAAAACATGACATGATTGTTTTTCTTCAGAAGTGTTGTTTTCCGGGACAAGTTCTGTAACGAATCTATGTATGCATGCTTCGCACGAACGCAACATGCTTCGCACGAACGTGACCAACTCGTGTTATTAGTGGTGACATTCTCTGCTCCCCTATTTAATGAAGATAACCCGATCTACCGTTTGTGCCATTTGACCTTCCGGGTTATGCATATGTAGAGTAGCTCAGGTCAAGATGAACAAGCTGTACTGCCTGTAAACATTCTCACAGGTTGTCCAGAATCACGGCTCACAGCACAGCTCTTGTCACGTTGAGTGTGCTAAGGGAGGTAACTCTTACAACCCTAGCTGACTACATTGTGCGCGTTGTTCCGCAGAACTGTTGGTAATCAGCCAGATTCGGGGGAGTAAAAGCGTAGGGAATTATTTTTAAACCTGTTGCTTCTAAACCTGAGGAGAGTGTACGAGGGTCAAGTGTAAAGCAATACCCCTTTCATCGCACGTCTAAATCAGCACGCGAGTACTTGGTGGAAACATTTCTCATCAAGCGCAGAGGAGCAACTTGTTACTCTAGGCGTGTTTCGTGGGATGGTCATCCGATCTGAACTGTACATAGCACCTGTCGTCGTATACCTAAATATACGACAAAGGTATACGTGACACCCGTGTAATATACGACGAGGCTGTACGTGACACCCGTGTAATATACGACAACGGTATACGTGACACCCGTGTAATATACAAGGCTGTACGTGACACCCGTGTTGTATACAAGGTTGTACGTGACACCCGTGTAATATACGAAGAGGCTGTACGTGACACCCGTGTTATATACGACAAGGTTGTACGTGACACCCGTGTTATATCCGACAAGGTTGTACGTGACACCCGTGTTATATACGACAAGGCTGTACGTGACACCCGTGTAATATACGACAACGGTATACGTGACACCCGTGTAATATACGACGAGGCTGTACGTGACACCCGTGTAATATACGACAAGGCTGTACGTGACACCCGTGTTATATACGACAAGGTTGTACGTGACACCCGTGTAATATACGACAAGGCTGTACGTGACACCCGTGTAATATACGTCAAGGTTGTACGTGACACCCGTGTAATATACGACAAGGCTGTACGTGACACCCGTGTAATATACGACAAGGTTGTACGTGACACCCGTGTAATATACGACAACGGTATACGTGACACCCGTGTAATATACAAGGCTGTACGTGACACCCGTGTTGTATACAAGGTTGTACGTGACACCCGTGTAATATACGAAGAGGCTGTACGTGACACCCGTGTTATATACGACAAGGTTGTACGTGACACCCGTGTTATATCCGACAAGGTTGTACGTGACACCCGTGTTATATACGACAAGGCTGTACGTGACACCCGTGTAATATACGACAACGGTATACGTGACACCCGTGTAATATACGACGAGGCTGTACGTGACACCCGTGTAATATACGACAAGGCTGTACGTGACACCCGTGTAATATACGACAAGGTTGTACGTGACACCCGTGTAATATACGACAAGGCTGTACGTGACACCCGTGTAATATACGACAAGGTTGTACGTGACACCCGTGTAATATACGACAAGGCTGTACGTGACACCCGTGTAATATACGACAAGGTTGTACGTGACACCCGTGTAATATACGACGAGGCTGTACGTGACACCCGTGTTATATACGACAAGGTTGTACGTGACACCCGTGTAATATACGACGAGGCTGTACGTGACACCCGTGTTATATACGACAAGGTTGTACGTGACACCCGTGTTATATACGACAAGGTTGTACGTGACACCCGTGTTATATACGACAAGGTTGTACGTGACACCCGTGTAATATACGAAGAGGCTGTACGTGACACCCGTGTTATATACGACAAGGTTGTACGTGACACCCGTGTT